ATTGCTATCATTTTCCCCATTTTTCTTCAAACTACAGCCCTATTCCTTTGCTCTCATTGTAGAAAATTCCTAAAACTTTCACCATCTCTAATTTATCTTCTCTTGCCTCTCATGCTGCCTGAAATTCACTCCAAATTTTGTTCTTTCCATTCCTCCAAAATTGTTCCACTCAATTGCAATAATCAAGGACCAAGTCCGCTGTTAAACTTGGATGGTCTTGTTGCTTTCCTTCACTGTAGCATTCAATGCAGGCAATTCCTTTCTTCTTGCAATACTTCATCCTCGCTCTCTTGTTTTTTTCTGCCTCATACCACATTTTTACATGTTTCTTTAGAGATTCCTTCTCTGATCTCCAAACTGTTTCTATCTACATCCAGTCTCTTAGTGATGGCTTTGAACACTCTCCGTATGCTGTCAATTCCCAAATATTTATATCCTTCCCAAACCTCCTTCCAGACTTCGATAAACAACTGCCTACTCAATGTCTTCATTTAGATGTCTAAAAGGCATCTCACATCTGGTATGGCTGAAAACCAGCCCTGAACTCCTAGAACCCTTCCCAACCAAACCATTATCTCTGTTGATGGCAAGATCATGCTTCCAATTGCTCAAGCCAAAAACCTGCCATCCTTCTTCTCCTACATTCCACACTCAACCATTGTCATCTTCATCTGGCAGCTGAAAACTGAGGCCTAGAAAAGCAAAATGATTTGCCCAACTTTCTTCTCCCCAGTACATAAAGCCTGTGCTAGAAATTGAGCACTCCCTTCAGTATAGCTTGGATATTAGCCTGAAAATGAGTCATCCAGCCAACCAGAAAGATAGAAAATATTCATGGTATGTTCCATGTTCCAAAGCTTCTCTGAGGCAATTGAGTTGTAACTCTCAACTAATATATTATCTATTATATATTACATTTTCACAGTTGAGAAAAGAAATCCGTTCTATACTTCTGTGAGCTCATTGGCATTAGGACAATTTTCAAAGACTAAGGGCTGCTTCTTTTCTCTGTCTTTTGCCAAGCACAAAAACTGTAATCACGTTGTCTAAAATTCATATGAGCACAATTTCAAATGCTCTTACCAGAAGTGACTCTCAAAGACGTCATTCTTACTCTGAACTATCACTTTTCACATGACTTCCCAAGTCTGTCGATTGTCGGCAGATTTATGAAGGTGTGGGAAGATACCAATGACCCCATTCCATTCTTCCTTCCCTCTGCGATTCTCGAATGCAAACATTTCAGATTGTCTCCAAGATGTTCTCTGTCCAAACTGTTTTGATTCTTTGCCCACAATGTTTTTGTTACACATACTCTGATGATGTCAGGACGTATCATTTTCAGACAAGAAACGGCCTCAAAAGCCACTGAGTTCACTAAGCATAAACACGATTTAGAAGCATGACAATGGCTCAATTCCTGTAAAGGAGACTACTACCAAGGTGTTTAGCAGCTTCTCTAAAAGTTTTTGCAGCATTTGGCTTTTAAACCCCAACATTTAGCTTCTTGATCCTTTAGGCTTTTAGGAGATAGTCATATTCCTACACCTTCTAGGAATGGTAGTGAAATACTGGAAGAGGAAGACGAATTCATGGTATTATATGATACATTGCAAAGATTGACAACATTTTGTTCTAATTTTTTTAATAATCGACAAGTGTTTCATTCTTAAATGAAAAGAACCTGCCATCTCCATTCCTTCCACACCATGTCTGCTCATCCATCCTTGGGAAGAATACTATTCTTTTAAAGTCACAGTGGGATAGCTGCTATTCTTTACTCTCCTGTATGCAAGAGGAGTAAAACCCAAGAACTCCTTAAAGCTTCTGCTACAGTAAAAACAAAAGAACCTCTCTCTACACTTTTCTTAAATTCCCATCATTAATTGCATTGAGTAGAATCTATCACCATAGTCACTCTTTCTCAGTTACTGAGAATTCTAAACTACAAGATCAACTTTTACCACAAACTTAAGTTAAGAAAGGGAATTTAATGAGTAAAGCCATGATTTTTGGTATTGGTTAGGATACATAGAAAGATCATTTCTTTATTTTTATTTTTTTTTTTTAGTTTTAACTTTTAACTAGTTTTTAAGAGATTCAAATGTGGGTTGTAGATACAATTCTAAGAACATAATGATATTCCTTTCCTCCCCCTCTCTCCCTCTCATCCTCCTTCCTTCTCTGGGAAAGATCATTTCTAAGTCACTTCTAATGTAAAGATCCATGCATTGGTGCTGACGCTGTGGCGTACCAGCTAAAGCTGCTGCCTGCAGTGCCGGCATCCCATATGGGTGCCAGTTCAAGTGCCTGCTGCTCTACTTCCAATGCAGCTCTCTGTTATGATCTGGGAAAGCAGTAGAAGATGGACCAAGTGCTTGGGCCCCTGCACCTCCATGGGAGACCCAGAAGAAGCTCCCAGCTCCTGGCTTTGTATTGGCTCAGCTCTGGCCGTTGAGTCCATTTGGGGAGTGCACCAGTGCATGGAAGACCTCTTTCTCTCTTTCTCTATGCTTCTGCCTCTCTGTAATTCTGCTTTTCAAATAAATAAATTTTTTTTAAAAAATCCATGCATTAAGCATGTCTTTTTTTTTTTTTTTTTTTTTTTTTTTTTTGACAGGCAGAGTTAGTGAGAGAGACAGAGAGACAGGTCTTCACCCTTTCACTGGTTCACCCCCCAAATGGCCGCCACGGCCGGTGCACTGCGCCTATCTGAAGCCAGGAGCCAGGTTCTTCCTCCTGGTCTCCCATGCAGGTGCAGGGCCCAAGCACTTGGGCCATTGGACCATCCTCCACTGCCTTCCTGGGCCACAGCAGAGAGCTGGACTGGAAGAGGAGCAACCAGGACAGAATCCGGGGCGCCGGCACCGCAGGCGGAGGATTAGCCTAGTGAGTCGCAGCGCTGGCTAAGCATGACATTTATTAACCCATATCTTTGTGCATTCATTTCTTGGAAGGCTCACACAAACGGGGAGGCCTTCCCTTGACTTAGGACAAGGGTACTTCCTGCTTTCCACTTTGGTTACAAGATCCCTTCTACCACCATGCATCAAGAACTAGCTATGGAAATGTCACAGAGCTTTCCTATTTGGGGTGAGCTATGTGCTCAGTCGATGTGCAGTAGTTGTTTGCAGTGGGCGTTACAGAGGACAGCTCTGCCCTGTCGGCCCAGGTCTCAACACTAAACATCAATGCAATCTGCCAACATGAAGTATTTATTTATTTACCTGGAAGGCAGAAAGTCAGTGAGAGGGAGATCTTCCATCAGCTGGTTCAATCCCCAGGTTCCCACTACAGCCATGGCCACGCCAGGCCAAAGCTAGAAGCCAGGAACTCCATCAAGGTCTCCCAGAAAGGTGGCAGGACCCCAAATACGCGGTCATTATATGCTGCCTCACAGGTGCAATGTTAGGAAGCTGGGTCTCGAGCAGAGGAGCCAGGACTTCACCTGGCCCCTAACGTGGGATGCAGGCACCACAAGCAGCAGCTCAACTCCCTGCCCCAACAACCACCTTCTAGTCTGAGGTTTCAGAGCAGATAACAGTTCAGATATCGACATCAGTTGATACAAACTGTGCAAGCAAAAGTCACCTTTTATTTCCTCCTGAAGGAATACTGCAGTAGCACACATGTAGCTTGAGAGGGAGCGAATGCATGCTGAAGCTCATGGAGAGATTTATACCCACGGATATGTACCTATGAGAGCTGAAGGTAGGCCATCAAGCAGAACATACTCAGGAGACTCCATCCAGCACAGGTAAATACCAGAGTTATTGTTTAATATGGGGGAAAACACACCAGTGAAGTATAACACATACAACATTAAAAACAGTCAAGGCTAAGATCACCAGAGATAAGTCACATTAATATCACGTACCCCTGAAATGATGCAATGAGAAAAATGCCTCACCTTTGGCATTCTTCGGTAAAAATCTATAACCCAGTGTAATCATAAAAAAAATCAGTCATATCCAACCAGAACACTAAATGTTTCCATATCCTGACTTGTGAAGAAAGAACAAGAACCTGTCATAGCTTGGAGGAGACTAAGGAGACACGTTGGGCACCAGTTATTATCCTGGCTGCTCCACTTCTGATCCATCTCCCTGCTAATGGCCTGGGAAAAGCAGAGGAAGATAACCTAAGCACTTGAGCCTCTGAACCCACAAGGGAGATCCAGAAGAAGCTCCTGGCTCCTAGCTCCTGGCTTCAGCCTGGCTGAGCCCTGGCTGTGGTGGCCATTTGGGACATGAACCAGTGGATGGAAGACATCTCTCTCTCCCACTCCTCTCTCGCTCGCTCGCTCTCTCTCTCTCTCTCCCTCCCTCCCTCCCTCTCCCACTTTGTAACTCTGCCTTTCAAATAAATAAATAAATCTTAAAAAAAAAAAAAAGGAGCTGTTTATCTGGTGGGGGCTTCTGGCTCAGCAGCTAAGATGCAGTTTGGGAAGCTGGCACCCCATAGGGAAGTGCTTAGGTTTGATTCCCCTCTCCACTTCTGATTCAGCTTCCTCCTAATGAGCACTCCGGGAGGGAGCAGGTCACATGGCTCAAGTACCTGGCTCCCTGCAGGCCACATGGGAGACCCAGATTGAGTTCCAAGTTCCTGTCTTCCATCTGATCTACCCTGAGCCGTAATAAGCATTTGGGCGATGAACCGCCAGATGAGATCTCTGTTGCTCTCTGTGTGTCACTCTGCCTTTCAAATAAGTAAAAACAAGTAAATAAAAAAACTTAAAGAACTGGCTATCTGGATCACAAGTTGAAGGTTTAGTGTGCCTTATTTTTTGGTATGACACCATTTTTGTTAAAAAAAAAAAAGTGTGTTCCAGTAGGCTGGAAAGGTGATATCTGTGTATCCATAGTGCAGGGCAGAGACAGCTGGCTGACCGCCCAACAGCCCGGTTCTCCTTCTCTACCATCCAGGTGCAGCTGGGCAGTGACGTTGCTTTTCAAGCCGCCTTTCCTCCAAGGGGCGCTACGTGACCAGGCTGGACCTGAAAACTGGGACTAGGAGTGGGAGATGGAGGAGGGGACTTCACAAAGTCTGTGGAAAAACAGAATTAAAAGATAAGTTTATTTTTGTGCCAAAAAAAGATTGAAATCCATGCACAGTTTTGTTTTTCCAGTTTACATATTTTCCACAAACTGTTTAAAGACCTCTTGTATACCACTTCCAGGCCAAACCATTGCAGTTACCATGGTGTTTCCCCACACTGGCTTTGCTTTCCACACCACCTCAGAAGCCACAAAAGGATTATTAGAGCCTCTCAAAATGACAGAAGCCTCAATCCCAGAGAGGGGGGGAGAGCTGCCCAGAAAGCTTCTGACAAGGAGTCTATGTCTCTGTGCCTGCAGGCCAGGAGCAAGCATTTGCTGAGTTGGGCCAGTGAGGTTGGGGAGTTGTTTGCTAGAACAGTCAACGCTTCCTGTCAAATATAAATGGCTTGGCCAGCGCCGCGGCTCACTAGGCTAATCCTCCGCCTAGCGGCGCCGGCACACCGGGTTCTAGCCCTGGTCGGGGCGCCGGATTCTGTCCCGGTTGCCCCTCTTCCAGGCCAGCTCTCTGCTGTGGCCAGGGAGTGCAGTGGAGGATGGCCCAGGTGCTTGGGCCCTGCACCCCATGGGAGACCAGGAAAAGCACCTGGCTCCTGGCTCCTGCCACCGGATCAGCGCGGTGCGCCGGCCACAACGCGCCAGCTGCGGCGGCCATTGGAGGGTGAACCAACAGCAAAGGAAGATCTTTCTCTCTGTCTCTCTCTCACTGTCCACTCTGCCTGTCAAAAAAAAAAAATATATATATATATATATATAAATGGCTATCTATGGATAATAGAATTACCAGGTATTTTTACCTTCTTTTCCACTTTCCTCTACATTTCTAAATTTGTACATGAAAAGAATATATTTTCAATTATAAAAATAAGGGAAATAGTATCTATGTGGAGAAAAAAATCTAATTCTTTCATTTTTCAATCTCAATAATCTATATCTCATGCAGACATTTTGCACACCATCACGACACTGTTTGGGATGCCCATATCCTATATCAGCATGCCTGGGTTCAAGTCCCCACTCTGCTTTTTTAATTATTTATTTGTTTATTTATTTTTGACAGGCAGAGTTAGACAGTGAGAGAGACAGAGAGAAAGGTCTTCCTTCATTGGTTCACCCTCCAAATGGCCGCTATGGCCAGTGCGCTGCGCCAATCCAAAGCCAGGAGCCAGGTGCTTCCTCCTGGTCTCTCATGCAGGTGCAGGGCCCAAGCTCTTGGGCCATCCTCCACCGCCTTCCCGGGCCACAGCAGAGAGCTGGACTGGAAGAGGAGCAACCAGGACAGAATCTAGCACCCCAACCAGGACTAGAAACCGAGATGCCAGCGCTGCAGGCAGATATTTAGCCAAGTGAGCTACGGTGCCGGCAACTCTGCCTTTTTTTTAATTATAATAATATCTTTAGAAAATTTAGTACATTTCCTTTTTTTCTTTCTTCTTTAAAAAAAAAAAAAGATTTGTCTATTTGAAAGGCAGAGTTTTACAGAGAAGGAGAGATGGGGGACGGAGAGAGAGAGAGAGAGAGAGAGAGAGATCTTCCATTTGCTGATTCACTCCCTAAATGGACAAAATGGTAAAAACTGGGCAAGTCTGAAGCCTGGAGCCAGGAGCTTCTTCCCAGTCTCCCATATGGGTGCAGGGGCCCAAGGACTGGGGCCATCTTCCACTGCTTTCCCAGGCCATAGCAGAGAGCTGGATTGGAAGTGGAGCAGCTGGAACCAGAACCGGTGCCCATATGGAATGCCAGCATTGGAGGCGGCTGCTTTACCCACTATGCCACAGTGCCACCCCTTCTCCTCCCACCCCGACCCCCTGCTCTGCTCTTGATTCTGGCTTCTTGATAATGTACATTCTGGGGAGCAGAGGTGATGACTCAAGTAACTGGGTCCCTGACACCCCCAGGGAAATCCTGGATGGTGTTCCAAGCTCCTGGATTCAGCCCGACCTATACCTGACTGTTTGGGGCATTTAGGAAGTGAACCATTAGATTCTCTCTCTCTCTCTCCTCTTTCTCTATCTCTTCCTGTCTTTCAAGTGTATAGAAAAATAAAATTTTTAAAAAATTAAATAATCTGGGGGCTGGCGCTGTGGTGTAGTGGGTAAAGCTGATGCCTACAGTGCCAACATCCCATTTGGGTGCTGGTTTGAGTCCCGGCTGCTCCACTTCTGATCCAGCTCTCTGCTGTGGCCTGGGAAAGCAGTGGAAGATGGCCCAAGTCCCTGGGCCTCTGCAGCCCCGTGGGACACCCAGAAGAAGCTCCTGGCTCCTGGCTTTGGATCAGCACAGCCCCAGCCATTGCAGCCATCTGGGGAGTGACCCAGCGGATAGAAGAGCTCTCTCTCTCTCTCTCTCTCTGCCTCTCTGTAACTCTGCCTTTCAAATAAATAAATTAAAAATCTTTAAAATAACTAAATAATCTACTTCTTTCATTTTGTGACTTCAAAAATGTTTTGCTTTTTCCACTAGATAAGGAAATGCTGGCCGACGCCACAGCTCACTTAGGCTAATCCTCTGCCTGCGGCGCTGGCACACAGGGTTCTAGTCCCGGTTGGGGCGCTGGATTCTGTCCCGATTGCTCCTCTTCCAGGCCAGCTCTCTGCTGTGGCCCGGGAGTGCAGTGGAGGATGGCCCAAGTCTTTGGGCCCTGCACCCGCATGAGAGACCAGGAGGAAGCACCTGGCTCCTGGCTTCGGATCAGCACAGCACACCAGCCGTAGCAGCCACTTGGGGGGTGAACCAACAGAAGGAAGACATTTCTCTCTCTCTCTCTCTCTCTCTCTCTCTCTCTCTCTCTCTCTCTTTCTCTCTAACTCTGCCTGTCAAAAAAAAAATTTTAAATAAAAAATAAAAAAAAAGGAAATGCTAATGGGCACCTCTCTTCAGACACAGACTCACAAACACAATATTGCAGTTCAGATACACATGACATTTTCAAATATTGGTTGCCGGGACGTCTGACAACCAGGAGCCGCGGGAGAGTAAGATCCCAGCAGCTGCAAGAACTCAAACTTTAAAGGGCACAGAAACCTCCGGCACCTTTCCCCAGCTAGCACTCATTAGTTTGCTCCTAGGTCCCCACCAAATGTTTTTAAAACTCATAGCAACCAAACAAAACTAGCCGATGACTCCACAAATATTTCATTGCTTTAAGCCCTGACTGCAGTCATAACGACACAGCAACTGTGCCACAGCCCGCAGTTCTCACCCACGTCCACACGTTTCCCACTGCTGGTGCTGCTGGAGGTAGATGGGCCCTGTGGCCAGCTCTGCTCAATAAAAACCAGTGTCACCTCCAGGCAGGAGCAGGGAAAAGCCCCAAGGACCCCCACACAGTTTCCACACCTGCCCGGTGAATGTGGAAAACCGGAGTTGAGATGACCGACTCCAGACGACTCTGCCATTACTGCTTCAAGCCAGCAGCCTGCAGACCTGTCAGGAGTGTGATTATTAATACAGTGGCTTTTCCAGGTTGGTTTGTTCTGAATCTAGCCTCGCCTGCCTACCACAGCACCTTCAAATCTTTTCATTGCCTTCTAGAAAGCATAGCATAAAATATCTAGGTCTGAAAAGAATAGCTGCAAGTCACGGAGCAGTGTTTAAATTCACGAGCATACCTCATAGAAACAAGACAAGTAACTGTGTATTTTTCTCCGCGTTGATGTCATCTACATCTCAATGGTTCATTTGAAGGCAAAGCATACAAGTACTAGAAATCAGTCTCTATGTGTTAAAAATAGGTATGTGAGAAGGTGAAGGTATCAGATTTGCATGATAAAAGCAGCAAAACTCAGCGCCAAGAAGGACTGTGAATAATGCAGAATCTTATCAAGTACATGAATAGAACAAGGGAAAAAACGTTAGCCCAACTCTGGCTGGGCTGCCGTCTGAAACTGCAGGGCTGAGTATGCTAACGCAAACGTGTTCGTGAACGGCTAATGTCTCTCACTGGGCTGAACGACTCAGTATGTTCGGAATCTGAGCCATTCACAGCTCTGTGCCACGCTGGGGAAGCTAAAAGGGCTGCGGGGGAAGCACACTTAGGGTTCCCAGGACAACCAAAACCATTTGTATTCGCCAGCCATCTTGATGGATTCTGAAGGAAATATCAACCCTATTTAAAGCAGCTCATAGGTGCAATGGAAATCTACGACCCATACAATCAAGTATGCATAAAGCTGCAGTCTCCAGCCCAGGACCTCTGCACAACACAGGTCGCTGGAGATTCTAACTGCATACCTTTTCAGCCCAGAGGAGCTGTGTCCTCACTACTGCCATCAGAACTGTGATCTTTCAGCGCGGGAGTAGGAAGGGGCCCTGCGGGAGGTGAGAGAAGGCATAAACAGGATCACCGAGGGAGAATTCTCACACTGCCCCTCTGGCCAGCCCCTCACAGGGGAGCTCAAGCCCTGGGCACAGGGGGAGGAGGCAGATTGAAGCGCCCTCCGCGTTCCTACTCCACCCCTACTCTTTGCCCCACTTGGAATTCCTGAAATGAAGAAAACCACGTTTCTTTTCTGTGAGCTTTTTTTAAAAGATGGGCTCCTGAGGGAACGAACACAAACAAAACACTCGCAGAACAAGCGCAGTGTTCCCGACAGAGACAGAAGCCCCTGTCTCCCCAGACCCGGCTTCGTGCCTTTGTTATCTTAGAACAGAACAAGTTGTTCCAAGCGTCTGCTTGACTCTCACATTCTCGGTAACAAGATGTCTCATGATACAGAATAGCGCGGGGAGGATTACGCTGCAAGCCTCTTGCTGGTGGCTCCATCGAGTGTTCAGGGAAATGTAGAAGGTACTATTATTATCTAAATAGCGTGCTCTGGATCCCTCCTTCAGATGGCAAAGGTATGCTGTACAGTATCAATACTTGTCAAAAATATTTACCCGATTTTATTTTATCCAGTTGTGCCACCTGAGACTCAGGCTGCCCTAGTGACTCAACCTCTAAAGTGTCCTGAAGTGCACCTCTCCCCCATCTCTGTGCCGCACAGCGGGTACCACTCATCACGGCTCACAGGAGAGCATCCTCTCAGCCGCTGTACCACCCACACATTCCGGCGCTTGTTCTCCCAAGCAAATCTCACCGTGCTGTACCCCACTTAGAACCTACTGTTGTGTCTGCACAGCCTTCAGGACACTCTAAACTCCTTAGCTTTGCCAAGAGTTTTGTGAAAATAGGCTATAATCTCAATTAATGCAGCTTCCCCATGTGTACAGAATTCTCTGGTCTCATGAAACTCATTAGATTTTTGAAAATTATTGCTGGATACACCAGGACTCACCTGTGCCCTTAGATGCACCATCTACTATGCTTAGAATGCTTTTCCCCACTTTTTTACTTAAAAAAAAATTTCCTATTGGTACTTTAAGAACAAAATCAAATTATTATTCTTTATCTTCCGAGGGTTTTGGTTATCTAGTGATCAGCCATATTGGCAGCACTGCCTGGTTACTGTGGCAGAGGGAATCTCATGAAGTCACAATGTGGGCTGGGGCTGCAGTTTTCTGAAGGCTTGACTGGGCTGGAGGATCCCCCTCCAGGACAGCAACTCACAGGGACGTTCGGCACCAGGTCCTTACTCCTCACAACGGGGAACTCAGTGCCCCTGAAGTATCCTAATGACACGGCAGCTGATCCACAGTGAGTGACCGACAGAGAAGACGGAAATGCAATGTGAGAGACATCCTCTATCCAGTTCATCAGAAGGGAATGACAAGTGCCGCTCACACTCCAACGAGCTCCACCTTCTGTGAGGGGGGACAGCCATGAGCTTATAGACACAGTTTAACCGTCACAAAAGGTCCCCAGGATTTCCCAGGGAAGTGACTCTTTCCTCTGTGGTCGGTGTTGCAACACCAACATGCTGTATAATGAGTTGATTTAAAAGTATATTCTGGGCTTTAGCATTTGTATTTCTAAATCTCGGGATGCCTAAAATCAGAGCCTTCAATAAAGGATAAAGGGGCTCTGTCAGGCATAGTCTCTTTATTACTTCTTTTCATTAAACTTGACCAGCATACTTACTGCTTTAAAAAAAAAGAAACAGAGGTAATTGGCAAGTAATTTGGCAAGAGAAAGATGTAACTCCATCTTGTTTCTTACTTTAAAATGGATTCTAAATGAAATATTTTCAATTTTTAATAAGATTATCAGAGAGGCTGATGTTATGGCGCAGCGGGTTAAAGCTCCAGCCTGCAGCACCAGCATCCCATATGGGCGCCAGTTCAAGTCCTGGCTGCTCCACTCCTGATCCAGCTCTCTGCTATGGCCTGGGAAAGCAGTGGAGGATGGCCCAAGTCCTTGGGCCCCTGCATCCACATGGGAGACCGGGAAGAAGCTCCTGGCTCCTGGCTTCAGATCAGCTCAGCTCTGGCCATTGTGGTCATTTAGGGGGTGAACCAAGAGATGGAAGACCTCTCTCTCTCTCTCTCTCTCTCTCTCTGGCTCTACCTCTCTGTAACGCTCTCTTTCAAATAAAGCAATTTTTTAAAAAAAGATTATCAAAAAAATACGAACATTTTATCATCTTAGAGTACAAAAGGCCCATCCAAGAATAACATGAAATATGACTATTTTACCAGCAAAACATCTATACTATGAACAATCCAGTGGTCTCCTAAATTCAATAACAAATTCCTTAAAAGAGGAAGACAGAAATATTTGAGACAGAAGGAAGACAAGACACAGTGCACAGAGAAGTAGTTGATGTAAAGATGGAGGCAGAGTCCGCAGTCGCCATCAGGTAAGGAATGCTAACAGCCAATAGAAGCCGCAGATGCCAAGAACAGACTCTCCTGGAGCTCAGAGGCAGTGTGGTCCTGCTAACGTGTTGCTCTCAGACTTCTGGCCTCCACAGATACAAGAAACTACATCTCTATCGTTTTAACTCATACAGTCCATAGTAATTTTGTCTCAGAAATCCTAGAAAATAATACAGAAGGCAACTATGCAAAGATTTGATGGAAATCTATTCTAATAAAATGCACTACAACGGAGAACTTCCAGATCATTCACAGAGACTTTTATGTCCTTTACAAAGGACATGAGGAAAGACTTGGGGGGCTGGGGGCGGACGTTGGGCATAGCAGTTAAGATGCCGCTTGGGATGCCCGTCTCCTGTGTCAGAGTCTGCATATCAGCTCTCCTTCTGATTCCCACTCCCTGCTCATGTGCACCCTTGGTGGCAGCGGGTGATCACTCAAATGCTTGGGTCCCTGTCACCCACATGGGTGATCCCTGATTGAGTTCCTAGCTCCTGGCTTTGGCCAAGAACCAGTGGATGGAAGATTGAAAGATTCTCTCTCTCTCAATATCTTTCTCTCCCTCCTTCTCTCTCTTTCTTTCTCCCTCTCTTCCTGTCAAATATAAATAAATAATTAATGTAAACAGAAAGACTTGGGATAACCATATCATGTTTAAAAACATGCCAATTTTTCCAAGTTAGTCTATAAATCCACGGTTATTCCAGTCAATAGCATAAAGATTTTTCATAGTCAAGACAATTCTGGAAAATAGAAGAACAGGAAGATACAAGATTTTCTTAACTGAAATAAGTATGTTTGTGTGTGTGTATGTGTGTGTGTGTATGGTATAGAGTAATTAAAAGAATTTACTATTGCTGTAAGAATCAAGAAATAGATCAATGGAACTTAATCTTAAAACACAGAATACACAAATGTTCCCCACACACATATATGTACTTCATGGTTTATTTGTTTTAACACAGATGACATTTCAGATCAAAGAAACACCACACACACACAAAAGATCCCTATTGTACACCATAAACAAAAGTAAGTTCCAGACAGATTAAAGAACCGAAATATAAAAAACAAAAACTTTTGAAAAATTATAAACTTCAGGTAGGAAATACTTTTTAAAACCCTAAAATCTAGAACTATGAAAACTTTTTTGTAAATTTAGCTACTTAAACTACTAAAAGAGTGAAATGTATAGGGTCATGGCAAAAGAAGTAATTTATAGCTCAAATCATTGACAAAGACTGAGTTTTCACAATATATACAGAATGTCTCCAATTTGAATATGGAACAGGCATTAGATGATATTGGAGGATTACAGTCAGTTTTCTTAAATGTCATCCTTGAGGCTATAAATATTGGTTTCTATTTCTGGAGCATGCAGGCTGAGTATGAACTATCATGATGTCGGCAGTTTTGAAGTGGTTCAGATAAAATGCCTACATAAATAGATGAATCAAAAACCACAAAAGTGTAGCCAGTGTTGAACTTAGTGGAAGATTCATGGGTGTGCATTGTGCTTTTCTTGAATTCTTTCTGGAAAATTCTACATCACATAGTTTTGAAGAAGTACCATGACACTATCTCTTCTTCCTGTTTCTTGGCATTATGCCAATTGTTATTGAGCTACTTTTCAATAAAGAAACCAAACAATGCCTTTAAAAATAAAACACCTACAAAACCAATCTGAAAAAATAAACACAAAAGTTTTAATCATGCAAGATGAGTAAGTTCTGGAAACCTAATGTATGGCATGGTGACTACAGTTACCAAATCGGTATACTTGAAATACAGCAAGTGAGGCTGCCGCCTGGACACTGCATCCTGTGAGTGCCAGCTTGAGTCCCAGCCGCTCCACTTTTGATCCAGCTGCCTGCTATTGCACCTAGGAAAGCAGCTGAAGGTGGCCCAAGTGTTTGGGCTCCTGATACCCATGACGGAGACCTGGAGGGAGTTCCTGGTCCTAGCTTTGGCCTGGCCCAGCCCTGGGGCTTGTGGGCATTTGAGGAGTGAACCAGCAGATAGAAGATCTCTCTTTCTGTCTCTCCCTCTCTTTCTGTCACTCTGCCTTTCAAATAAATAAATAATCTTTAATAAAAAGGAAAGAAATCTAAGACATATATTTTCCCTGTATACACACTCATACACACACACACAGAGTATGTGAAGTGATGGGTGCATTAACTTGACTGTTGTGATTTCATGATGTATACTTAAGTCGTGGAGTTATACACCTTAAGTATATAGGATTTTTATTTGTGAATTCTGCCTTAGTAAAGCTATAAAAGAAGACAGAAGGAAAGATGAAGCTAAACTGATAATAAATGTATGAAAAAATATTCAACTTTGCTAGTAATCATGGAAATGAAAATGAAAACCACAGTGACTTACCCTTTAAAATCCACAATGTTGAGAGGAAAGTTTAAAAGATCTGGGCCGTAGCAGGTAAAGCTACTGCCTGCAACACCGGCATACCTATGGGCACCAAAGTCCTGGGAAGATCTGCTTCCCAACCAGCTCCCTGTTAATAGCCTGGGAAAAGAGCGGAAGACGGTCCAAGTGCTTGGGCCCCTGATATCCACATGGGAGACCCAGAAGAAGCTCCTGGCTTCAGCCTGGCCCAGCCCCGGCCATTGCAGCCCTCTGGGGGAGTGAACCACCAGATCTCTCTCTCTCTCTCTCTCTCTCTCTCTCTGTGTGTGTGTGTGTGTGTGTGTGTGGCTTTTTTGTTTTTGTTTTTGTTTTTTGGTTGTTTGTTTGTTTGTTTGATTGACAGGCAGAGTGGACAGTGAGAGAGAGAGAGAGAAAGGTCTTCCTTTTTCCGTTGGTTCACCCCCCAAGTGGCCGCTGTGGCCGATGCACCGCGCTGATCCAAAGCCAGGAGCCAGGTGCTTCTCCTGGTCTCCCATGGGGTGCAGGGCCCAAACACTTGGGCCATCCTCCACCGCCTTCCCAGTCCACAGCAGAGAGCTGGACTGGAAGAGGAGCAAACGGGACAGAATCCGGTGCCTCAACCAGGACTAGAACCAGGGGTGCTGGCACCGCAGGCGGAGGATTAGCCTATTGAGCCACTGCACTTGCCATTATGTGTGTGTTTTTCTCTATATATAACACTTTCAAATGAATAAATAAATTAAAAAAAAATAAATTTAGAAGATTGAAATTGACCAGTATCTGTGAAAACATAGGGAACTGATGGGAGTTAAAATTAGTGCAAGCCTTTTGGAACAGTTTGGAAGTGTGCGGAAGCAGTACTTACCAGACAACCACAAAACGCCACTCCTACATGTGGATTCCAGAGCAGAGTCTCTGGGACATACATGTGGCCTGGCCAACTCAGGAGACTCCATGAGACACTCCTTCCGTGAGGGCTACACAATCAAACAAGTTTCATATCAGCTGCTTTTCCAGACTCATCGATTTGTTCCCAGTGTGGAGTCGAGGTTTCGCCGATGCTCCATGAGACGCACATCTGCTGAATGGGATGAATCGGGAACGGTTGCTTCTTCGGGAAGGAGGTGGGATGGGGTCGGGGGACCTGCAGAGCAGCGGCCCCATGTGTAAGATTTTATTCCACGAGTGATAGTGGCTTGCATGTCCTTACTGTTCTTTATAAATGTTTCCACACTGAATTATCCACAGTAAATCACAACCCAACAGGACGAGAGCGAATAACGAATTTACCAACTGTAGGAAAAAGGAAAAAGGACCATGTGGAATGGAGTCATTATCCTGTAACCTACAGTAAATGTAAAATTTTCATCACCAGCTTTTCGCAATTCTCTTTTCTGGATCACATATTAAAGCGATAAAATCTCCTATCGTGTATTTATAGAAACAAACTGTA